TGAGCTCTTCTGCAGGGGAGCAATCTATGATCCTTATTGGAAGGGAGTGGGCCCTACTTACGGTGGGGTGGTCTAATGGCAGATAACTTTCAAGCGGTTAACCTTCAAGTGTCTAGTAGCCACCAAGCGCTTGCAAGCAGCACCTTCAAACTGGCATTATTAAGGGGGACATCGTGGGGAACAACGTTAGCAGAGGAGAATGCGATTGGGATCCGTCCCCAACCCATGAACGTGAAGGCCTCCCTCCACAAGAGTCTCCGTCTCCCAGATGCCTTAAAATGTGAGCGTAGAGAATTTGTCCACATCCACTCTATACCTGGTTCTCAGTTTCCCACAGCCTACCTTTTTATTTCCTCTACTCTGAAAATCTGGAGTGCCAAACACAGGACAATGTTGGCTTAGAGAGATGATTATGACCTGGAGCATGAGCAGTGTTGTAAATACTGTTTCAGATAAGCCGTGGTGAGTGGTTCTCTCCCCTGTGTGTGGGTGTGGAAAGTGGGAAGAGGAGAATAAGGAATTCCACCTGAGGGTCAAGGAAGTCTTCAACAGTGACAGTGGAGCTAAACTCCAAAAAACCCAAACTGACTGCCCTCACGTCGATTCACAGTGACCCTATAGGGCAGGGTGGAACCGCCCCTGTGAGCTTCTGAGACTGTAACTCTACAGGAGTGGAAGCCCCGCCTTTCTCCTTTGGAGCAGCTGGGAGGACTGATAAAACTATCCCTGTGAGATTCTGAGACTAGACAACCTCACAGGAGTAGAAACCCCATCTTCTTCCTTTGGAACAGCGGATCACAGCTGAAGGTGTAACCACTATACCACCAGGGCTCAGACAGTGGAACAGAGCTCTTAAAATCAAGGAAGGAAAAGAGGCCTTTTAAGGATAAAAATGTACATTTCTTCCAAGCCACCATGGCTTCCTGTTACACTTTAAAGAAAATCCAGATTTCATGCCATGTCCTGTAAATTCTTTAACCAGCTGGCTCTGCAAGCATGTACCCTCCCACTTTCTCCAGCACCCTGTCCCTGAAGCCGCATCCCCACAGGTCCCTTCCTGCTGTAGGACTGGGTGCCAGCTCTTCCCCTACTCAGCTGCGCTTTCCCTACAGCGTCCTCAGAAACCATTAGGTCTGCAGCATAAAAGTCTCCTCCTAAGAGCACACTTCCTCCATCCCCCACCCAAACAGGACTCAGTCATAACACCCTGTTAGATTCCGTGGTAGTTATATAATCATTTGTCCATTTGAGAGGATTAGGAGTGAGGGGATGGATTCTAGCCTGTCAATCAGGTCATAGCCAAAGAGGTCTCTGTGTAGGCATGGCTTTCTCCTGAGGATTCTGGGAACTCCTGTATTCCTCCTCTCTTGGCTCACTCCCTGGGAGACATTGCAGCTGGCGAGACATATGGAACTACACTAGTACCCTGAGTTGGAGGAGCCACGTGGAGACCCACACCACCACTGGATCCACAAGACTTCCCACCCACTGGCCTGTGATCTTCCTGCATTCCGCATCATTGCATGTGTTTCATGAGTCTGAAGAGGACTTTATAGATTGGTATCAGACACATGGACTAATATCGGACTTGATCTGGACTGGGCCGGGCTGCTTCTCGATACTCAATTGCTCTTGTTTATAAAGCTCTTTCTTACACATGTGTCTATGGATTTGTTTCTCTAGTCTACCCAGACTAACACAGGTTCTATGTATTGCAGTTAGCTTTCTTATCTTCGTGATAGTTTTCTATTTACAGTCATATGTATGTGCATGTGTGAGTGGTCCACTTGACTTTGCTTCCCCGACTCAAGCATTTTGATCGTTGGAACCTGGCTTGCTTGTCTTGCTCACTGCTGTTGTTTCAGCACCTAGAACAGTGTCTGGCAGGGCACAGAGTAGATGATCAACAAATACTTGTTGGCTGAATGGAGAGGACTCAAAGTGACCCTCTAGAACAGGGGTCCTCAAACTACAGCCTGCAGGTCGCATGCAGCCCGCAGAAGACATTTATCCGGCCCACCAGGTGTTTTTGCCCATTTTTTTTACTTCAAAATAAGATATGTGCAGTGTGCATAGGCATTTGTTCATAGTTGTTTTTTTTTAACTATAGTCCAGCCCTCTGAGGGCTGTCTGAAGGACAGTGAACTGGCCCCCTTTTAAAAAGTTTGGGGACCCCTGCTCCAGAACATCGGTTGTCAACCTGTGGGTCACCCGATCCATAACAGTAGCAAAATGACAGTGATGAAGTAGTAATGAAAATCATTTTATGGTTGGGGCTCACCACCACACGAGGCACTGTATGCAAGGGCATTGAGAAGGTTGAGAACCCCTGGAACAAAGCTGAACTGCTCCTCTGGGTTTCTGAGACGTTCCACCTTTGTAGGAGTAGTCAGCCTCACCTTTCTCCCATGCAGCAAACTGGTCCGCTCCAATGGCTGGCCTTGTCCATGGCAGAACGTATGGTGTTTTTTAATTGAATGGAAAAAGGCACAAAGGGAGGAGTAGCAACACAAGGAGGAGGTGGGACATGTCTGAGACTATAGCTGTGGGCAAGGGCATGTCTGGGTGGGAGATGAGATTGGGAAGGCTGGGCGAGCTAAGGGGGTTACTGTGAAGCTCTGAGTGGAATGGCCTTTAACCTCCTAAGTAACAGGGAGCCAAGGATCAATTTAAAGCATGCTAGGATCATGGCTTTTCATGACATTCTGTTGGCAGTGTGGAGTTTGGAGCCAGCTGGGGGTGGGAGTCATGGCTGGGCTTGGGCAGATGAGTGGGCACTGCGGATTCTTTATCCCAGCCTGGCAATATTTGAGAAGTGGAAGATGAGGAAGGGGAGACAGTTCTGAGATAAAAAGGGCTGGGACTGGGGGGGCAATAGGTCCGGGGAGGAGGTCACATGAGAAACAGTAGAAAGAACTATTTTAGTTTGGGTTGGGTTGAGTTTGTGGTTCCTGGGGAGCTTCTTTCCCTGAATCTCTAGGAATCCTGCTATCACCACACGGTCCCTCCTACCCATTTTCTTTCCTGCTTCAGATCACTCCCACAAACCATGGGTGCTTGCTGCTTCTAGCATGCTGGGGCACCCTGCCAGTGAGGCCCCACATTCTTGAGGAAGGGACTAACCAGGCTCTGGACTGGAGGGATTGTGGCCAGCAAGGGAGCAGCCCTGACAGGAAGGCAGGGAGGCTGGCTGGCTGGGCACAGATGGGAGCTTCCTCTGCTGCAGCAGGTGCTGAGGGCCAGCTGCTCCAGCCCCTCAGGCTCAGATCAACAGGATGGGGCAGCCTGGGCGGAAGGAAGCCTGGAGGGAGGGCCAACTCAGCAGACCAGCAGGGGCGGGAGGTGGGTGGGAGGCAGGAAGAGCTCCCTGGACTGCTGGGCTGGCACCCTTCCCACGGATGAGAGGCACTAACGGGCCTACAGTTCTTATTACCAGTATTGTAGTTTCCCAGCCTGGGCCTCTAGATATGCTAGAAAGAACCATTAGATTCTAACAGACTTAGTTCAGCTCACCTTGTGTTTACTGGGTAAGAATTCTCTTTTCACCTGCATAAAAAGGTGAGACAGCTCCCTCGAGGGGCAGTGATATGTGGTGTTCAGCCTGCTCAAAGGTGCTAAAATTTCCTGCTATCTTTAAGCTCTGATCCCACGGCTCTCCTCTGTAGGAGCTGCTGTGAACAGGCACCGCTAGGGGATCAATAATGCAGCCAAAGCAAAGCCACGAGCTCCAGGCACGGCCGCGGAACCGATCAGGCGGGATTCCTTGCAGAAGCCTAGCCTGGGTCCGACCAGCGTGGGAGGGGCTCCCGACAGACTATGTGCTTTGACCTGGTGGGCGTCCCCACATCACCCCTACCTAGGTGTTCACTGCAGCCAGAACTGGGAGAGCCCCGCTCCTCCCCCACCCCCACCCCACGCCCGACTTTTTTACACAAGAGCTTTTCCAGGGGCCTTGGGCCGGGGAGGGGTGGGTTTGCTTTGGAAACAGGTCGTAGACTGCAATTTAAACTTTTATCTACACCTAGCTCAGAGCTGGATCCCAAAGCCTAGCGTCGAAGATAGACTATTTTTATTTTTAACACCCTAAAACTCGAGTCTGGCTCCCTGCCACCGGTCCAACTCGGGAGGCTAAACAGCAGTCCCCGGAGAAAGGCTGGGCTGGGCGGGTAGGGGCGGGCACTGAGGACAGCGCCGCAGGAGTAGGAGAGGGCGAGGGCGAGGGCGAGCGCGCCGGGCCGGCGCGGGAACAGGTGTCGCGCCCCAATGGCAGGGGCGCCACCCGTCATGGTGCGCACCCCCACGGCTCCCCACGGCCAAAGCCCGGCAGATGTTACAGAAAGGCAGCTCGGTCCGCCGCGGAGCTCCGCTTCTCAGCCAGGCGCGCAGCAAGCGCGGCGCTTCCAAATGCAAATGTGTTGGCCCGGGCCCCGCGGGCTGCAGCCACCGCCTCCCTAAGCCGCCTGGCGTCCCGCCCACCTCGCGGCTGGCCCGGGTGGGGCGGCGCGGAGGGCCGGGGCGGAGCTGGCGCCGCTCCCCACCCCCCACGTGGGGCCGGCCTTCCGCGGTGCCGGGCGCGCCGCCGCCGCGCCTCCCAGCTCGGCTCCCGCCCGCGGCGCCGCACCACGAGGCCGGGAGCGGGAACCAGCGGGGATGGGGGCGGGCGGGCGACGGGCGGGGGTGTCACTGAATCAGGTGGCGGTGGGAGTTCCCCCAGGTTGGGCCCAGGGAACATGCTGCCGCCGATTGTGTACACGCTCCACTGACACAGGCTTCACGCTGCCGGGCAGCCGCTGATCACGCGTGGCCCCGCGAGCCCATTGGCCGGCGCCTCACACACCTTTGCCGCTGATTGGCCGGCCGCAGGCTCCGCCCCCACCCCCGCCCGCGGCGCGAGGCAGGCAAAGAGGCTACCTGAATGGGGAGGGGGCAGACGGCGCGGAGCGCGGCGGCGGCGGGAGCGACGTCGAGTGTCTCAAAGCGCACGTCTGTGGCCAGGCAGCCCAGTAGCCCAGCAGCCAGTCAGCTCGCCGGCGGTGGCCAGGCAGCCAGCCATGCTCAACTTCGGTGCCTCTCTCCAGCAGGCTGCGGTAAGTCACCTGGGGATGCCCCTGCCCTCATTTGCCTCGTCGCGTCTGGAGGGGCAGCGGGGCCGTGAACCCCGAGTCCCTGACATCAGCCGCGCCTGAGAATGGGGCTGCAGCCGAGTTGTGGGGAGGGGAAGGGGGTTCCTGCCTGCAGACTGTGGAGCTGAGGAGGTCGTGTGGGTTGGGGAGCGGGTCAGGAGATGCGGACCGGGATCTGGAGACCAGAGGGGAGAGATCCTTCTAAGGTGTGGGGAAGAGGCAGCTCCCGCCGGGAGCCCCGGGAGGTTGGTGAAGGATGAGGATGCCTGGGTGGGGTCAAGAGTGGGGAGGGGCTGCTGCCCTGTCCTGGAGGATGGGGAGGGGGCGGAAGGAGGCCACCTTGCTGCTGGTCCAGGTGAGACGCCCCCGTCTGGATTGGGCATCAGGGCGCGGGGGGACCGGCTGCGAGCATTGAGGGGCAGGGTGCCCGCGGGAGAGTGGGCAGAGGGCTGTTCATCCCGGGGTCAGCTTGCAGGACGAGGGTTACCTAGCTGCGGGGCGCGGGGAGGGGGCTGCAGAGCTGGGATGGGGGCGTGGGCGTGGAGGGTGGCC